TCAGGCCCGCTTCTACTTCTGGAAGTGTACTTTTCTTTTTAATAAAACTTTTCTTTTCTACTATAAAAAAAAAAGAGTATATGAAAATCAGTGCTGCTTGCTGTATGACTCAATTTAGGTAAGTCAAGGTACATATTTCCACAGGTGGGTGAGATCAGTTATATCAAAAAAGCCTCAAGTCACAATGAAGAGCAATAACCAGAATGTTTAGAAGGAAGCCCACCTGAGATCATGAAAGGTAAAAGGAGAAGGAAGGTTGTACGCAAGAAAACGAATATCTAAAGTAGGATTAGAACTGAGCATTCTGCCAGAGTGTTTGAAGTTAAGATGCTAGGAATAATAGCAGCATCCTCTGCCTCTAGCCCTTTCAAGCACACGCGTGTGTGTGTGCGCGCGTGTGCGTGTGCGTGTGCATGTGCGTGTGTGTGGGTGTGTGTAGTGGAGCTTTGCAGGCTACACTACTTTTGAGAGTACTTAAAAGAAATAGAGTAGAAGATCTAAAAAGTCCTAGAAATGATGTGGGGACTAAACCAAGGTCTCTAATGAGGTCCAAGGATAAGAGGCAGGGGGGTCAACCATCTGCAGACACAGAACTCATACTACAGATTTCCAGGTGGCAACGTCTACTAAAACACAGGGGACAAACAAACATCTCCTCTAAATGCAGAAAAAATCTGACAGCCAGAGTTTCACCCTGGTCATAGTCTCCCATACTAAACTCTTCTCCCAGCTTCTCACCAGACAAGAGGACAGTAGGGGAGCAATGTGGTATAGTAGATAGGGATGGCCAAACTGGGATTGAATCCTGGCTTCGCTACTTTCTAGCTGGGTGACCTTGAGGAAATAACCCCTCTAAATTGTAGTTGCACTAGGCATAAATGGAAATAATCTCTACGTGTTATGCTAACTATATCCATCTATCCATATCTGTACATCTATATAAAACTATATCTATATACATTTATATATAATTATCTATCTATATATCTATATATAGCTATATAGGTATATCTTTATAACTATATATATCTATACATCTATATATAATCACATATATCTATACAACTCTATATAACTATCTATATATCTCTATATAACTATATATGTATATTTAACTATCTATATGTCTATAACTATAAATGTCTATATAACTATACATCTCTATATAACTATATCTATACATCTATATATAACTGTATATCTATATCTAGATCTATACATCTCTACACAATTATCTCTATCTATCTACCTACCTACCTACCTAACTACCTACCTACAGAGAAAGAACACTTTTCAGCATCCCTGGCAGAAAACAGCTGTTCAGAAAATGGCAGTTCTCATCGGTTCCCTCCCTTCAGACATTCTACCAATCCAGAACCCCCAACCTAATACAGTAAGGTGGAGAGTCAGAAAAGGAGTGTAAAGGAGACTTTGGAGCCTCAAGTGAAGGTTAAACAAAGGATTTTTGAAAGTTAATGGGCACCATGTAAACTTCTATCTCAGGAACTAAAGATCGCCCACCCCTTTTTTATGAGCAGTTAAACTCCGCAAAGTCAACCCGATCCAGCGGCCTCAGGAAACAGAAGGGCTACACTAACTTGGCAAATTCTGTCTGAGTAACTTGGGATAAAGGAGGCCATTGAGCCCAGGAATCACATGAACCTGCATATTCACCCTCCAAAATTATTTCCCAGTCAGTTTCAACCTTGTCCTCAAGCACAAATAATAGTAAATAGATTTTTGCAACATTTTCTTTGACAGGAACCCGAAAGCTTCGAAACACAGGATATCAAAATTTATGTAACTCCAAATACTGGGGTTTTGTACCTAAAAATATAAAAGCCTCCAAATGTTCCATCAAGCTGTAGTTCATAGACTCAACCAATAGATGGCAGCATTAGAGAGCCGAGGCAAATTGTGTTAGAAACCTCCGCCTTCATGAGAGGAAGAGACAGAAAAGGAAAAGAGGGGTTGAGGTCAGGCAGGGTGGAGTCACCTTTTCCTCAATGGGTACTATATGCCTGGCTCTTTGCTAAGTGCTCTACTGTGAGGTGACCACACAGTGAGTGAGGTGTTAACCCTATTTTCCATAAGAGGAACCTGAGACCAAAATAGAGGTGATACTCTTTTCAAGCGGTCACACAGCTAGCAAGTGGGAGACTGGCATACAAGACTAGGTATGTCTGTCTCCATTCCACCTCATCTTGAATCTCCAAGGAGGAGACGGTGGGAGGTTGACCAAGCCCATTTCACTGTGTCCTCTGCACATCTCTCATGCCATTCCCCACACTTGCTCTGGCTCTTCCTTGCCTATCTAAGGGTGTCCCTTACAATCTTCTTCAAGGCCAAATTTGAGACCACTCCACTCCTGTGAGAGGTGCCTTCTACCAAATCCCCCGAGTCATGTCACTCCCTTCTCCGTGTACCTCTGCACAAACCAGGTGTGTCTAGGTCCTTGATACTCAAAGCATGGTGTGTGTACCAATAACATCAGCACTACCTAGTTAGAAATGCAGAATCTCAGGGCCAACCTCAGACCTGCCACACCTGCATTGTAATAAGCTCTCAAGGTGATTCATGCGCTTATTAAAGTTTAAGAAGCACTGGACTAGCTCACTCTGTGTGCCAAGGGCCTTAAATGTCTCTGGTCATAGCGAATGAATAAGGTGTCTGGGTTTCCAGAGGCATCAACCTAGGCAGGGAATGCCAGGCTGCTTATTAGGATCCATATTAGGAGGTTAGTGGGTTTAAGGCTTAGCCCCCATTATCAGAAAAGGGATACCTCTGTCTCTGCCTCCTCTAATTCCCACCCAGTCATGGCTCTGAACAATGAGCCAGATGCATGAACCTGGGAAGCCAGAGAATGGCTCCTAGTCTAAATGCCTAAGCCCCAGTAAGACAGGGATCAACAAGGCCAGGGGAGTGACACCCTGGCCCCACAGGAAGGAGGGAGATGGCTAAAGCAATGCTGTGACTTTGGAGTAATCTAGTGGGAAAGCAGCATGGAGCCATCTTATCAAGAGCGAAGGAAGTAGAGGCACTGAAGGAGGATCTGCTCTCCATCAGGAGCACAGAAGTGTTGCTCTCCAGATATCAGACCGGAGACAGAAGGAGCCGACCAGAGGCCACAGCATCTCCCAGCTGGACAAGGGCCCCATAACTGGAATTGCCTGGTCTCCCATGCAAACCTCTGCCCACCCTCCCTTAACCCACGATGACTTACTTGTGATTCCTCTTTTCTTACCTAAGAATCCTATGAAATAATAGGCGTTATTTGGTTTTCCTCCTAATGCCCCTAAAGACTGTGGC